CAGCAGTGCAAGGAGAACACCACATCAGCAATTTCCTTGCAGGATAAAGCCCTCCATGTTCCCCTGGTTTCGTTCAGCTTCTATGTATATTTTTATTTTTCAAAGAAGATAATTCTGTTCATGCCTTAGAACAGAAACTTCAGTGCTTGGTGAAGAAGGGCCAGAATTGCCCCTTGCAATAAGCACTGTATCACCAAACCCCAGCTGTCCGCACTGGCCATAGAGTTGGTGGTGGTTGATCAAGCCTATAATAGTCAAAATGACTTTTCCCCCTGTTGCCTTATCCAGAAATAGATTAAACAACAGCAGCTGAGCAGTTTGTGTGGAAGAGGACAAAATAGCTTTAATACAATTATTTCTGAAAGCGTCTTTCTTATTGAATCCCAACCAGTGCCCTWTCAGATGCCTGGATTTTCCCTTGCACTCAAAACAGATGGCTTTTCCTCTTGATTTCCCCTCTTTTGGCCTAGGAGAGTACTAGCAGCCTTGATGATGACGCAGCCCTAGAAAGGAGGACTCCTTGACTAGTTCTGCTGTCATATCTTCCCTCTGAGTCCCTCTGATACAGATCTATGTATCTGACCAGGCAAATTGCAGATCTGATCCTCCTACGCTGCTCAATTCTTTCTTTCATGTCCCATTTCAGTGGTAGTCATCTYGGAGTGCTGGGACACATCCACGTTGTTCATGGCCACCAGCAGCTTCAGGGCAACAGCCTGCACCTCCTCCTCCCCTACTGCCTTTCCCAAGCTCATCAAATGCTTCAGCGTCTGCAGCAAGTGCTGCACATGGTTATCCCGCAGCCTCACGAAGAGGTCCTGGAGGTCGCTGGTAGGCAGCTGTCCTCTCAGTCGGCCACTAACTATCGTTTTTGGGATGTGTGTGTCAGAAGGATTTAGCTGCTTGCTCTTCRACTGTGGTGTTCCCTCAGGTGAAGAGGTGGAAATCACGGCTGTTTCCATGGCATGGGCTGGCTGGGCAGCTCTGGGAAGTGTGGGGAAAGCAGCCTGTGACCTGGGGACCGTTGCGGACAGTGCAGCATCGCTGCGTGTGCTCTGGTTGTTGAAGGCTTGCGCGCTTCCCGGTTTGGCTTTGCTCACTTCTGCACAGGGAATCCTCTGTGGAGGAGAAAACATAGCCCTGAGAGAGGCACGGAGAGCAGGCATGAAGCTATCCCTCTCTTCTGTAGGATTAGCGCTTCCTGCACTATTCTCTTTCCCGTTCCCTAAATGTTGGCTTCCTCACAGGCCCAGTGTGGGGAGGAAAGAAACCTTCACCTCCTCCCCTTGTCATGTCTCCCTATACATCATTGCARCTCCTAGCTGTGCTCCTCTTAGTCTCCTTCTCTTTTAGCCCGTACAGGTGACCTGTTCTGCTGCAGTAGCCTAGATTGTCTCACCGTGCTTGGGACTGGCAGCTTAAATGAACCTCACAAGAGGTTCATTTTCTTGAAGTCCTCAAAGCTCTCCTTCCTTGAAGTCTCCTTTTTGGCAAGTGGCTGCAGGTCCTCTCTGTAAAGTAGTCTGCTTGGGGAAAGGCTAGGCTACCCATGGCTCTCTCCTAGCTTCCCTTTCTCTTTAGTCTTTTGTTTTCCGACTTCCTGATTCTCAGAGATTCTCTAAGTCTTTGCTTAGGGTATACCATGGTCTTCAGAAAACAGTTAAATAACTCACCTTAATGAAATACATTTTCCTAGTACAGCGATATAAAGAAAAGGCACAGAAGTTTGTGAAGAAAGGAAATCCTGGCATTTCTGAGCAAATGCGTCCTAGAAAGAGGTAAATAATGAAACAGATTCAGCCATAAACTCCAGTTCTTCACACCTGCCCTCAGCGTTATGGAGTGATGTGCATCCCACCGTGAGAACTCTATGGCCTCCAGGTAGCCTCCCTGAACCTCAGTGCGAAGCTCCATTGTTGCCTGGTCATCTCCATGACCCTCAGCAAGAAGAGGCTGCTGCTAGGGACATATGGGGCTGCTGTTGGCGAGCAGGTGCAAGAGGACCGTCATGAGAGGATGTCTTCCCCTGGAAGACCATGGGGTTGCCTTCTATCCCACTCCTCACACCAGCTTCCAAGAATCCTTGTGTTCTGATCCATCAAGCCTCGTGCTGGCTGCACAAGTGTCCCTATGTGCCTTCTTCCCTGGAGTTACGGTCAGTTTTACCCTCAGGGATGGCTCCATGGTTTTCATACTCGTCGAGCCTCCGGACCAGGGGATTCTGGCAACCGTAGAGTGTGCGAATGAGGCAGGTGGCTCTGGCACGCTGGGCGGTTCGGAGGGACATGAAGAACTGGTGGTACTCGTGGTCAGAAAGCGGTGTTCCCTGTCGCTGTGCCTGCAGGCTGGCTGTGCAGCCCCAGCCTGAGAGCGCTGCTGAGAAATAAAATGCAGRGAGGTGGAGAGAGGAGGAAACACTGACCATGACACACTCAGAAGGGGTGGAAGGCACGAGCATGGAAATGCAGAAACTGGCTTACGATGGGGGTCTAGACCCGAGGGTGACACTGTTCCCTCCTCTGCTTCTGTTAAAAAGTGTAGTATTCTGGTGATAACGACCAGAGCTTTGGTGATTCAAGTCCTCAATTACAAGAAAGGTTTTCGATGGCATGGGTGGAACTGGTAACGTGCCTCTACTGTGGGGGCTGGACCCAAGAGTTGGTTTCCTTTCAAGAATTTTGTCTCTGCAAATTCCCTTCCTCTAGGCAAGTGGGTCCAGAACCCTTGAATTAACAGAGATGCCCCGATGGACACCTAATGGAGAGTGTGTGCCCTCTCTATGCTCCCAGTGTTCATTGAACATGTGGGCAAAACTTACTGCAGATTCTTGCCCATAAAGAACATTTTGAGAGAYTGCAAAATCAAATACCTTTTAGATGTTAGATGTACCTGAATAAAAGTCTCATATGCAATCTCAGTTGTGACTGCTTATGCATATGCATTTTATACATTCTTTAAGGATATAGCAACCTGCTATTCTTTTAATCGGACTTTCAGCTCCTGCAGTCAGAGAATGARCCTGCTTTGTCAGGAAATAAAAGTTTTTCAGGCTAGGCAGGTATTCAGGACATCAGCCTCATTCTTCACAGCTTGGAAGGTTGAGACAGGAAGATGCTGGAAGAGGATGGATTGTCTTATGGATGCTCTTCCAAGAAGTAGATTTTACTCCTGCCTTCACTGCTAGGCAAGCAATTAAGCGACGTTTCTCAGAGTGTTATTAATGACTTTTTTTTTTGTTGTTCTTTTATCCTTCTGGGCTGCTACTTATAGGAAGGCCAAACTCTTGCACCTTTGGAGTCTGTATGTGCTATATTTTGGACAGCAAGTAAGTGCTACGTTAGCATTACTCTGAGAAGAGAGGGCCGAGATATGTCAAACTGATTGTAAAAGCAGTGGATAGCTTTGAGTCTGATCCCCCTCTGCCTTGTTTTGCCATTTGCAGAATCACTATAAACCAATTAATAGCTATGAAGCACCAAAATACAGAGTATGTGAAAAAGTTCATGAGGAACTGAGTCATTCTGTGTAGAGCAGAGTTTGAATGGGGTCAGTAAATAAATCATAGGATCAAACACTGCACAGTAAGGGTGRCATAAAATATTGACTAGCTGCTCATTAAAAAGACATTGTCCATCCTGGGACTGAAGAAGCCAACCCTTGTGAAAGAAGTGAAGTCAYGTATTCAAAGAGCTGTGTTACTATGCCCATACACAGGGGGAACAAATACAAAATTAAAAAAAAAAMCCAAAAACCTGCAATTCAGGCATGCTGTAGGTATTCTGTTTGACTTTGTAACCTCCATAGTAGTCTTTTTAACCTAGAAGATGTTTTAACTTCAAAAGTCATGAATTTAAAAATTCCCATATGGCCTTTGCCTTACTAATACCTGTACTTSTGTAGATGCAGCAGGACCAAAAAAGCAAAGATCTTTGTGTGTTGAAAGATTAACTGAGGTTACAGAGCACTCTGAGACAGTATTAGATGAGGATGCGACACTTGGCCGAGTAACACAGAGAACTGCTGAAAGAAGGAAAAYGATGTTCTAACACTTTCTGTCCTCTCTCCGATTTCGCTCCTATCTGGCATCCTGCTGCTTCTCGTCCCTTCATCTACCTAGTCCTTCCCTTCCCAACTTGCGGTTCAGATCCAAATCTCTGCCTTGCCCTCATGTCTGGTTTCTGAGTGAGCTGTCTCTGGTCTCTTGTCACAAGTCTTTGCTCACTGCCTCTCATTCTCTGCCTTTCTCATTCTCCTGTCCTCTGCCCAGTTATTTGCAGTTCTGAGTCTTCATTTTCTCATTCAGCCAGTCTCCTCACTTTGCCCAGTTTTCTCCCAGACTGCTGCTCCTTGCTGCATCTCTCTCCATTTTGCCAGCTGCCTCCTCCAATACTGGCTGCTATTTAACGATTTGGAGGCCTGCAGGCAGAGAGGCAGTTCTCTACACAGTGTGTGATAAGCTGGGCATATTTGTGGGGTCAGGGGTTCTCTTGTCCCTTCCTTTCAGTTCTTAAACACCAAAGCTGAGGTGCTCTGGGAGGGAGAGGGTAAAGAGCAGCTGCCATCCTTTCTCACAACCTCATTTTTTCAGGAGAGGCGGAGGCGTTTCTCCCTTACCAGAAAAAATCAGGAGAGCCCATGTGGCCGACATGGCACCTTGCTGCCACACATGCAGGATCTGACAGAGCCTGCAGGCCGGGCGGTTGGCGGTGTCACAGCGTCACCGCAGTGCTGCTTTTCTTGTGCCTGTCTTCTACCCCGTYGTGTCTCCTCCTCCAGCAGCCGGCCATGCCCGCGTGGAGCTGGCAGGAGAAGGTGGCAGGGCGGCGGTGTCCCCACGCTGGGTGTGATGTCACAAGCTCGTCACCTTTGGACAGAACTTTGGCAGAACTTTGGTGCTATGGCCAGGCTAGGCTTCAGTCATGTTTCTGGGCTTTGTTTTCCACTGGTCTAGGTTTATTTTGTTTCTTACATCTCCTAGGTCTAGGTTTATTCCGTTTCCTGAGTACAACACACTCTCTTGCAATCTCAATTTACCACACTGCTGCTATGACTGTTATTTATTGCATTTGTTTTCTTTCCTCTGATCAGGATCGGCCATCCCTGTCTTCGCTTTAACCTCCTGCTTGGAGTGAGGGGAGACAACTTGGTGGCCAGAAGCAGCTAAACGCTCAGAGGGTAGAGCTGTTGCTCACAAGGTGAGGAATTGATTTGGCCAGCACAGAGAATGACTGGGAAAGAAAAGAGCTGAATACTGAAAATTTGGTGTATGTTTTGACATGCAGTCATCCTGCGAATACTGGAAGAAGAGCAGCCATAGGTAATGGGAAGAGAAATGTTAAGAGAAATAGTTATACTGGAGGTTGTTGAGGGGAGTGGGAATTTTGAGAACRAGCAAGTGAGAGGTGTTGTCCCTATGGCTGTCTCTTTATGACAGAGAATGCTCTTTGCAATCTATGCTACAGTAGCCACCCGTTCTCATTTCACATTTTCTTCCTCTCTCCCTTTCCATGTTCCTCAGTCTCAGATCCCTCGCTCTGCCCAGAGAAGAATACCGAGGACCTGTTTCCTACAGCACTAGCTAACAGTGACTGAGGAGCAGCAGATCRCTGGCAGTTTCCCTTTTTGGATGTCTCTCTCGGAGAAGCAGAGGGGATAATTTACTGCTAGTTCCTCTGCTCATTCCAGCAGGTGTGAAGACCATGAGTGACGCAAAGAAGAGCAAGCTCCTTCAGGAAAGTCCTGTAAAAGTGGGGCTGCATCTGCTGTCCTCCAGACGGCTCACAGGGGATGCCTCTCAGGACTCCCGTCAAAGACAAGACTGCAAGCAGGAGTCAGAAAATGGGGTGGACCTGTCTTTTGGGAAAGGAACAAAAGGATCAATAGCTCCCTGTGGGATAGAGGTCTGGGAGTGCAAGGATGGTCGCGATGCACACATCAGCAAGGTTATTCTCCCCGGGGACGATCCAGACCCACCTGTGTGCGAGAACAGCTCCATCTGGGTTCAGCAGGTGGGAGAGAAAGCCTACGAGTGTCCTGAATGTGGGAAGAGCTTCAGCCGGAGCTCCTACCTCAGCCAGCATCAGAGGATCCACCTGGCAGAGAAACCCTTCAGCTGCTCCGAATGTGGGAAGAGTTTCACACGAAACTCGGACCTCATCAAACACCAGCGCATCCACACCGGCGAGAAGCCCTACCAGTGCAACGAGTGTGACAAGACCTTCAGCCAGAGGTCCAATGTGATCAGGCACCAGCGGACCCACACAGGGGAGCGCCACTACCAGTGCAATGAATGTGGGAAAAGCTTCAGCCAGAACTCGCACCTCATCGTTCATCAACGGAGCCACAAGGGCGAGAAGCCATTCAGTTGCCCGCGGTGTGAGAAAAGCTTCAGTGACCGCTCTTCTCTCATCATCCACCGGAGAGTCCACACGGGAGAGAAGCCTCACAAGTGCCAGGAGTGTGGGAAGCGTTTCCGGGACAGCTCAGCCATCATTCGGCATCAGAGGATCCACACGGGAGAGAAACCGTATGAGTGCAGCGAGTGCGGGAAGACCTTCCGCCAGAGCTCCTCGCTGGTGACCCACATGAGGACGCACACGGGCGAGAAGCCCTACAAATGCCCTGTGTGCGGGAAGGGCTTTAGCCAGAGCTCGGCGCTCACCACTCACCGTCGGATCCATGCGGGAAAGGCCTTGCCCGTGTTCCACGAGAGCCTGCTGCCCGCCCCATACCAGTGCGCCGAGTGCGGCCGGCGGTGCAGCGACCACTCCACGCTCCTCAAGCACCAGAGCACACACGCCGAGGAGCGGCCCTACATCTGCGTGGAGTGCGGGGACAGCTTCCGACGGAGCTCGGCCCTCAACGTGCACCTCAGGATCCACCGCGGGGAGAGGCCCTACAAGTGCGAGGAGTGTGGGAAWACCTTCCGGCACAGCTCAGCCCTCGGCGCGCACCTGAGGATCCACGCGGGAGCCAAGCCCTACGAGTGCACTGAGTGTGGGAAGAGCTTCCGGAAAAGCTCAACGCTGAAAGTGCACTTGAAAATCCATGCRGCCAAGAAACCTCATAAATGTGCAGTGGGTAGGAGAGCGCTCAGTTCACACTCCCTCCTACCGTAGTCCAGAATAGTTTTCTGCTGTGTTGAGGACATAGGAAAAAGGGTGGGCGATGAGAACCACAATGAAGAAGGACTTGCTGGTGACAGGGCCACTGTGATATCAGTGCTGGATGTTTAATTCCCGTGGTATGAGAAACGACAATGGGGTCTATAAGCAGCGAATTAGGACTCAGAGCTGAGCCCTGGGGGAGGAGGAGATGTCTGACAGCCTGAGAAACAGGGACTGATTTCTGGGTAATTCAGGGGTGGTGAGTCTGTGGTAGAACAGAAGGGGAACACTAAGCTTTTAAGTGTCTTTTTAACTAAAGAAAATATCTAAATAAAATAATCCAGGTTTCTTCTGACTCAAAACTTTGGCTCGTTAGGCACGGTAGCAGTCTTAGAAACTCTCTTTTTGATACCTTATTTTTCATGAACGTACAAAGTTTACACAATGCTTGAAAAGGCACCTCCAGTTCTTCGAGCCTGACACTCTGGAGCTGGACCTCAGTCTGTCTTTTTTCCTCCTTTTTTCCAAGCGACAAGGAATTCCTACCTCTACGTGCAGAATTTGCAGGACATGGTACCTGAGTAACACAGAATGGATGTGACCTGCTCCTGAAAACATGGACGCAAACTCTTTTTTGTGTTGGAATGCTGCCTGTTTGGCAGCTTTACCAAAATTTGTCTTCTCTGGTGTGAAACACCTTGGGAGATCAGTAAAACAGGCAAAAATGTGGCCTTACCTTGTTTAACCAAAAAAAAAAAAAAAAAAAAAAAAAAAAA